ATATTCCAGACAGCTTAATACGTTAAAAGTAATTTAACGTATTACGTTTGAAGTATTCTGGACAGTTTCTAAAAAAAAAAAAAAGCCGTTATCTTTCAGCAATTCCTGATACAATTCCTATGAAACTTGTAAATAATTTGCTAACAATTATAATCTTTTGATAAAATTTCGAACAAATAATTTCTATAGGAATTTGTAATGCGTCGAATAATTTTTAACAACCATAATCCTGTCAATAAATAATTCCTGTCACTAATAATTCCGGATATAAGCAGTATTTCAATAGATTAAGTATTCCGGATAACATTACACTATTAACAACTGTGAAGAGAAGAGAAGATGAAAAGGAAAAAGAATGGAATTGCTTCTTCATCTGATCCCACTCAAACTTATTACAACCAGAATTGAACATCTGTCTCTGATATGTGATAGGTATGTGAACAGAGCAATAGCTATTGCTAATAAATGAGTGATAAAAAGCTTTCTCGAGTTAACCTTTAACCTTTTCTTTGTATTCCTTTCTTTCTTCTTTTTCTTATTCATTTCAAAAATATTTTATTCTTTTAACCAATTTCCTAGAACTTTTTTCCATTTTTAAATTTGCTTTAGTTTTTTCTTCTTCTTTGATTTCTTTTCTTCAAAATATTTATTAACTTTTAAAATTTTCTTTTTTCTATCCATTTAAAAAAAAAAATAATTTTTAAATTTTAGCAAAAAATTCTATGTTTAAAAGAATTTTTGAATAAAAATTCTAATATATCAACTACACACACAAAAAAAAAATAATAATACACAATTGTTCGCATCTTTTTACGTTGCAAAATAAAATGAATATATAACAATGTCAAGATTAATGTAAAAAATAAAAATTGTGACATGATTAAAAACGTCAATTAAAAAAGTAAACAAACAATTTTTTTTTTAATAATAACATCCTAAGGAAAACAAAAGTGTATAAATAAAAACAAAAAATTGAAATGAAATCTTTGAACGTTCGTGAAGTTACTTAGTTTGATAAAATTAAACAAATTCAAATTATCTTTAATGGGTTGTTTTTGAAATTTTAAAAGTTTTTAATAAAATACTTGAAAGAAAAATGGATAAAAAAATAAGAAAAGCTTATGTAATACGGAATTTACAAAAAGTTTAGCTTTGCTGCCATGGTGATAAAGACGATTAGATGGTAAAAGATTACATAATTTTCAAATTTTAGCGTTTTAAATTGATTATATTTGATTCTTGAAAAAAAATGAAAAAACTTTAACAAGAATGAATTGCTGTTTTCCTTTAGAATGATAAAATTTTAATCGATTGTTTCATTAATCCATTACTTTACTATTATAATTGATGGCAGTATTGTATTAATAGTAATAGTAGTAATACTTTCAAAGAGATTAATAATATTTGAGTAGGAAAAAATTATGATAAATGAATTTGACATTTAATAATAAAATTGTTTGCAAAACGGTTGGTATTATTTGTTCAAAGAAAAAGCGTAACATGTAATTATCAAACTATAATTGGCAAAATTTATGAATAAAAATTACTAACCAAAATAATTGCACTTACATTTGAAAAAGATTAAAGTTCTTATTTTAATAAATTAATGAATAAAGTCTCATATTGACATTATACTTATTTTTGCATTTGTGCACATATACTTTTTGGTGATGTAATTATAAACAGTAATATTTTACATAGATAATAAAAATTGTAATTATTTTGTGAAAATTTTTAAAATTACTATTTACTAATTTATTCATGAATGTAATTAGAAAAAAGCAATAGAAATCGATGCTTGAATGAAACAAAATTTGAAAATGATAGGTACTAACAACAATGATAACTGATACTGATGATGATAACTAAAGCATTAAATTTGTCTTATCAGTTAAAATATTTTGGTTAAAAGATAATTGAAATAGAAATTAAAATGAAAACTTTTTTTTTTGCAGACACACTCTAAATGAGATCATTAATATATATAAATATAATAAGTATATTTGAAATAATTCGTTCATAATAATTTTTTTTTTAACTGTACATCATTTTCAAATGCAAAAAAACAGCCTAAGAATAAACAAATGCAATTTGACGACAAACTTCTAGGCAAAAATTATAGGCTACAAAAAATAGCCTATAATTTTGGCCAATTTTTCATCCTTTCTTGAATTATCAGTAAACTTTTCATTTCTTCCTTCCTTTTTTGTTATTTTTCTTTCTAAAAAGGACAAAAAAGCTTCTTCTTTCAAGAAAAACAAGCAAACATTTATCATTGATTGATAAAAACAGACAAAAATGGAGAAAGAAAAAGAAGCAAATAAGTTATTAAAGGGAAAAAAAAATAAAAAGAAAAGAAAAGCGTAATAGTTTTGAGCTTTTTTGCTCATTAATTCATTAATAAGCATAAAATGCATATACCATTTGTTAAAATGTTTGGTTAAAAAAATTGAATGTTTTGTAATTTGATTTCATTAATATAACACTTGTTATTTTCAATGGCAAAAAAAAAAAAAAAAAAAAACAAATTGATTATTTTTAAAAAATAAAACAAAAAAGATTTTGGTAAATTTTTTTTTTCATTTTTCATATGTTAATACATAAGATATAAAAAGATTTCGAAAACAGTAAATTTTTTATTGCATGTTCATAAAATTGCAAATTTTTATTAATTACCAAAGATTTTGCTGAAATCATTTACTTCCCAGTAATTTGCAAAAGACAAAAAAAGCAAAAAAACTTTTTAAGTTATGTTATTAAAAAAGTGAGAAAATAAGAAACATTTGAAAATAATATAAATTTAAAAAAAAATTTTTTTTTTTCGATGGATAAAATTTGAGTTTGGCTATTTTCGACTTTTCGATTTGTGAATCTTTTGTGTTTTTTGTTTTTTCCTTTTCCTTGGTGAATTCAATTTTAATGAAATAATCCGCTAGATGAATTCAGTTTTAAGTTGGCTGGAAAATTTTTTCAACATTCCCTTAGTAAGATAAGCAAAAGATAATGTAACTTAAAGTGGAAAGTTAAAGAAAAGTTAATTATACTAATTGCATACTTTCATTAGTATTTATTTGAAATATTAAATTGTCTTGAACTTTTTCATTACTTTATTATTTTATCTATCGACGATTTTTTTTTTATTTTTTGCACTTCTTTTAAGAAAAAACAATTAAAAATGGTATATTTGAGTGATTTCTTTTTCTTTGGTTTGTTTTTTCTGTATAATGAATAATTATTAGTAATTAAAACTATAATAATATATCTATATATGGTGGAACACTTCTTTCAAATTAATTTACTTCATTTAAAAGTAAAAAAAAAGTTACAGTATTTAGTTAGAGTGAAAGTAAAAAGTATTTTAATCGAAAAGTGATAAACAAATGAATATATATGTTTTTATTATTAATTACATATACATATTAAAAAAAAGTATTAGAGTTTAAAGTTTGAAATTTATTTTCTAAATTGGACAAATTTTTTCGACTAATTTAAAAACAAATGAATGAATTTTTATCAAAAATGTCTGAAATAGATAAAAAATCCAAAAAAAGTGGACAAGTGAACTAATCAGTTAAAAAATATTGAAATTAATTGGGTTAAATTTAAATTCTTTTCTATCTATCAAGTTTACAGCAGAAATGTATATTGCTTTGCTTTCTTGTAATGAGAAAAGAAGCATTAATTTTCTTTTGCTATTTCCAAAAATGTGAACTATTATAAATTAAAATAAATGATTTGCTGTATATTACAAAAAATTCAGCTAACCAATAATTAATTAATTAGCTCAAAATTTATTTTTCCTCCAAAGCGAAAAAATTTATTGCTGCTTAAAAGAAAAAAAAAATCAAATATTAAAATGAATTACTAATGGTAGATAAGTAATATTATAATAATTACAAAACATAAAAAATTGATAAACAAATTTTGAATCAAAAGATCACAATTTACAAAATTTGAGATTTTGAGGAAAATTTGAAATATTTGAAATTGGAAATCAGTTTGTCAATACATCAAATGCAATAACAATTTGTTAACACAGCTGAATGCTATACATATTTCAATGAGATAATGTAAATAAATTTTCTTTTGAATTATTAAATTTTATTGCAAATAATTTTCATATTCGCTTCGATTTATTTGTTTATTTAACATTGCTTTTGTTAACATTTAATCATTAAAAATGTAATTTTTAGTTATTGGACAACTCAAATTATTAATACTTTGTACTATTACTTTTACATATTACTTATGTTATTAATTTTATGCATATTATTATTACTTCTCCAATTATTTCGTATTTAGGACAAAAATTTATTTGAACGAATATTTCTCAGCAATTGATGGAATATTTTCTTAGTATCATTATAATTTCATTTTGCCATTATTAGGCTATCATTACTACGATTATCGGTATTACTGACATTGACATTTAATACCATCAATGCTTTCATTAACAATGTTATTATTAATATTAATAATGTCATTATTGTCGCTATCATTATTACTAATAATTAGTATTGCTGTTATACTACTGTTATTGGCATTATTGACATTGCTACTAATATTTTTGTCAATATTATTACAGCCTTTTTCATCAATTTTATTATTATCTTATCGTTATTATTAGAAATAATAATTATTGCACTTATCTATATTTTTAATATGCTTGTTATTTAATTTATTGTCGCTGTTATCATCAACATTATTACCATTACTAATAATATGATCAAAATTGTTATTATTATTGTCATTATTATCATTATTTATCAATTTTCATAATTCAAATAGCTAAATTTCATGATGAAAAAGCAATTTGTTATCGATAATTAATCACAACATTGCCTCATTAAATGACAGATATCTGAACTAAATTAATCGTAAATTATTTTTCGACAATAATGACTTTAAACAAATCCTTTCACGTTAAACTTTATTTCCGAAAAGTTGAAAATTGATGGATTACTTGGTTTCAATTCCATTAAAATTAAAAAAAAAAAAAACTAACCCAAATTTCGTCGCTTAAATCGTCGAAGCGTTGAAAATGACTGTTTAAAGTTTAGAACTGGAACGCTATCTGTGCGCAAATATTCCAATACTGATTTCCCCAACGAGTTCTCTGTGTATGTTGGATAACTTCTTACTGCTGTACGTGAAGCCATTTTTCGTTGACCTTTAAATATAAAAGGTTGTCGTTCATTTCAATTACTGTGATGTTCATTAACTATTAATCAAAATAACGGTTAATTATAATTTCTAAATCAAAATTACGAACTATTTTTAGCATATGCATAGGACTGTGATGAAGTTACAGCTGCATCAGCTTGACAATATTTCCAAAATGATCGGAATCGACCATCTAATCGAAATCGACGTAAATGTTTACCCATATGCTCTACTTTCTAAAATATTATTCAATGATTTAGAGCAAATTTGAATTACTAATTCGAAAATAATAACTTCAAGCACGAAGAATGAATTAATTCCTAAGAAAAAAGTATTGGTATCATTCTGAATTAAACTACGAAATTGATTTTAATCGATAAATGATTAGTATTTAGCTCAATTAAATTTAATTTGGAGAAACGAAAGAAAATGTTTAAAACATATTTCAGTATTAGTTTACACGTCTTCAGCTCTATAAACATTATGTTATCATAAGAATTATATCCTTTGTCTCTTTTTTCTTTTGATAATTAGTACTAATTATCTTAGTTCTATCTTTGCTGCTGAAAAGAAAGTAAGTGAATGAATTAATAATAATCATAATAACACAATAATAAAAAAATAGCTAATTCAGTAATGAATTTTTTTTTTTGTAGATAAATTCACTTTTTATTTCCGAAATAATTATAAAATCCAAGGATAAACAGAAAATATTTAATTAAATTATGAAAGCACTCAACTGAATCATTAAATGCAATTTATGAATGACAAAATATAAAACATCATTTATTCCGCTTTTCTTTTATGTTAGTCAAGCAAATTAATATAAATATTACTGAGCTAAAAAAAGAAAAAATCTCTTTGCTAATTAGTCAAAATAGAAAGAGAAAGAAACGGAAGAAAAAGAAAAAAAAACAAGTTTTGTTTTCGTTTTTGCATTTTAAATTGAAATTTGATAAATTAAAAGTTTCAAAAATGAACAAATGAGCAACCTGTTGATTATGATAATATGATATAGAATTTTCATTCATTCTTAAACTGCAATAATCCGGTTGTTTTGATGAAAAAATCGATAACGAACCGTTGTGAGACATATAATTATTGTTTCCTGAAATAAACATTACTATTCTTGCGATAGTGATTTAAAAAAACAAAAAACGCACTGAGATAAAAGAGATAGAATGAATGGAAAAAAAAATGAAAAAATAAACAAAAAATTAAAATTTGATTTCAATTTTTTTTTCGATATATAAATACAAAAAATTAAAAAAAAAAGCCTTCAATAAAGATGCCATGACAATTAAAATGTATGTAAAATGTTTTCATCTTATTTTGACCCAATTTTTAAAATCACACAAATGATTTTGTCAATCATTTTATTATTGATGGCCATGACATGATTATTACTAATGTTAGGTGTTAAAAAGATAAATGTCAGGTAAATTTTTATTTTTGAAGTTCCAACAACCAAAATTTTATACAAATTTTAGATTTGAATAATAAGTAAATATCTTTGACTTAAAATATGAAATAAATTATGCAAATAAAAGTTGCAATTTCTTTTGCTTATTTTCTTCTTCCATTTTTTTTTTCATTTTTTTTCTTTCATAATAATTTTTTTCGTAAAAAAAAAAGATTAATTAACCCATTAATTAAGTAGTTAACCTATTAAGTAATCTTTCCTTTTAGTTCATTAGTTGAGAAATTTTTTATTTGATTTAAGCAATTTAAACCGTAAATATGTTTTTAAAAATTCTTACTCGAAATATTAACATGAATAGTTTATTCGAAAAATTTTAAGCAGGAATAATATTAATAATTCAAAATAAAAATTGAAAAACATTAATGAAAAATGAAAATAAAAGGATGATAAAATTGGAAGCATAAAAACAGCAATATTTTAATTTAAGGTTTAACTTGTTCAAATTTCTTGATTAGGCTTCTTCCATTGAATCACCAATGGGTCCATCATCCATCTTTTTTTTCAAATGTGCAATTTACCGGTATCTAGTTCAAAATCTTAAATTTAATCCATCTTATGGTAGATAATAAACATTAAAATACTGAGATAAGAAATATAAAATTAAAAAAAAAATTTTAATTCTAAATTTCCAAACATTTTTTGCAACAAAAGAACAGAGGAAGAGTGAAGAATGACAAAGATTGTTTGTTTTTGGTTTTTTCTTTTTTTTTTTTGATTGACATATATCATAAGATAATGTGGAAAATACAGAGAGAAAAATCCCCGAGGATATTTGGACAAGATGGAAAAATAAAATGAACAAATAGATTCGAACAATATTACATTTTATGCATGAAGCATAAAAGTTTAATCTCGAGAAACTAAAAAAACATTCGCTTTTCAAAAAATTAGATTAATGCAATTATGTTGTTTCTCCACAGATGCATCCGAGATTTTCGGGAGTATTCTCGAGAAACATCGAATGAATTTTGTGAAATATTACAATTGCACCATCATTTGATCAATTTTGCTTTTTGAGTTATTGCAATGCAATCTTTTTTAACTGTGAGAAAATTAATTCTAACAATAATGATGATAATTAATAACAGTAATAAGAAGGATAATAATAACTAACAACAATGATAGCAGTGAAAACAGTAATGATAATTGATGATAATTAATAATGATTACAATGAAAGTAATGATGATAACAATGATAAATAGTAATTTTGATAATAAAAACAGCGATAATGCTTCGTTTTTAATAAGCCTAATACTGTCATCGACAATGGCAAATAATGAAAATGCTACTGCTATAATATATTAAGTTATTGTATTAATATATTAAGTGATTACTCCTATAATATATTAAGTTAAAAAGTCTTATGAAACATTAAAAAACAAAACAAATGAGTATAACATTTCTAATTGTTAGTTGGAAAAATTTTACTCAAATAATTTCTTTGATAAAACTAGAAATTAAAAATTGCTTACGACAAAAATTTGTTCAGTATTTACAAGAAAGATCTATCAATGATTTGTATTAAAACAGGAAATGAATTATTTCAAAACTGAATGAATTACTAATTTAACAAATTACACAAAAAGGAATTCTATTTTTGCTACTGAAACTTTTTTCAAGTAAAATGCACTTTAATCAATTAAAATTTATTCCATTTATATACTTTATTTTTAAATTTTTATTCATTAATAGATGAAAATGTAAATGTTTAAAAATTTTGATAACTTAATATCTTTCTTCCTTTTCCTTTTTTGTTTTGCTTCTTCAATTCATTAGTTTTCTCTTTCCATCTTCATAATTAATCTAATTATATATTAATAATACAAATTAATCTAAATATATCAATAATCCAAAAAAATTATTTGATATCATTTTGTATTGCAATTAAATCAAATAAACAGTCATGCGCTATCGTTTTAATTAATCATTTTATCATGTAATAACATTATAAATAGAACAATAATTACTTTCCAAAAAATGAAACAAGTTTTTAGTTAAGTAATTAAATGAGTTAAAATGTGACATTATGCATTTTCTTGTATGAACAAAACAAGTAAATAAGCAAATAAAACAATAAAATTAACGTATGATGTAAGTATTCATTTTGCATATATAGAAGTAAATAAGTAAGTAAATAGGTAAATATATCAGTAAGAAAACATGAATTAATTTATCAAAATGAAAAAGAAAATAATAAAATTAGTAAATTTGTTAAAATTATTAAATTAGTACAAAGATGATAAATGCAATGAATAAAAAAAATAATGACAGAACGCATTAATTGTCATTATTATTGTTATTATCAATTAAACCATTATTAATTATTGCTATTAGTTATTACTGTCATCACCGACCACTGCTATTTTTTGTCAATTATCATTATTATTATTATCATTGTTATCATCGCTAACCTTTTGCTCTCCACAGAAATATTCAATTTTTGAACTAATTAATATTAAATTCTCCAAGAATATTCATAAGATTCTTCTGAGAAAAATGTTGTGAATGAAATGGAATCAGTTATAAAATCACATCTGATCAATAGTTCGATCGAACGGAATTGGTTCAATGAGTCAGTAATCAATTGCACATATCATTTTAGTTAATTGCATAAAAGCTTAATTTAATTTACTCTTTTTTCTTTTTTTCACGACTAATAATTGAAACAAAAATTGAAATAATATTATGAAAATTGAAAATTCTTTCTTCCATAACCTTTGGATAAATAAGGATTTTATGTGTTATGCCTTATGAATAAATTTTTCTATATTTCGCATATAATTAATTCACTAATTAGTGTAAAATTAGGGCATTATAGTATTAAATTAGGGTATTATGGAATAAAATTATTAAAACTTTTTCATATTAGTCTAAAAAAAAATTTGTAAAAATGGAACAAAGTTTCAGTGAAGTGAAATTTATCAGCAATTAAGTGGGAAAATGATGATTGATGGAAGAAAAGGAGAAATGATTCATAAATTTTTCTAATAAAAACAAAAAATTTTTTGAAGAAATTTTTCAATATTTACGGAAAACTGAAAGTAAAATGTCCATGAAAGAAAATATTTATGTTCTAATATCACTAAATTTGTCATTTGGAATGAATGAAGAGATTAAGCTTAAAACGGCAAACGTGGTGATAAATGATAAGATTACAGAGAAGGAATTGACACATTAAAATTTAATAACATAAAACTTACTTCCACAGGATTATATATAATTTGATTCTGTTGATTATCCAATTAACTTTGCTTTTACATTTTATAGTATTCAAATTATTAAAATACATCCCTTATTACTCAATATTGTTGAATCATTCGTTTCATTTATTAATAGAGTTAAGGAAATAAATGGTAATGACAAGTGATAAGAAAAATTATGGAGAAGGAACCGACAAACTAAAATTTGTTATTATAACTTTTTCCTGGAAAAAGAAGGAAGAAATAGTAATAATAATCAAATATTATTTTTTGCATCTGATAATATTGAAATATACTTAAAAAATTGTAGTATATGAAATATGTATTCATTTATAATGTTATCATCAAAGATTAGTTTATTTTTTCCTTTTTTTTTCTCCACCAAAAAAACATTTGAATAAATATTCGGATGAAATTTTATTGAAAAAATCCCTGATGCATTATTATCTCAGGAAATTAGTAAAATTATTGTTGGACGTCCTGCGATCTATTACTATCTCAGAGGATTAGTAAAGATTTTGTTATCAGACCCCGCAATCTACTCTCAAAGATTAATGAAATTTTTCTCATCAGATCCCGCGAGCTGTCATTATTTGAGAGAGTTAATGAAATTTTCACTGTTATATCTCGAAAGAAACAAAAATTTCAAAAGGTCAATAAAATTTTCACTTCCATCAACAAAATTTCAATTGGTCATATCTCAAAGGATTAACGAAATTTTCACCGGCTATTTTTTCGGCATAACTTTGTTTCCCTGTGAAAAAAAGTAAAAAAAATTTGATGTTTAATTTGATTTATAAATAAAGTTGAAGAAAATGTCAGTTTCTAATTAACATTAATATTTGAAATGGTAAAAATTTGAATGAAATAAGAAATAAAAAAGGCTAAAGAGAGCAAATAATATGATAGAAAAAATTAAAATAAAATCAATTACGAGACAATAAACAAACAAACAAAAAAAGAAAAGTGGGAAAAAAGGGAAAGGAGATCGAGAAAGGGAGAGATAGAGAGAAGAAGAGAAGAAATGGAAACAAAGAGATGAAAAAAACCAAATTGAATTATTTATGTAAAATTTGTCGGTAAAGATATGGAAATTACAAATGAACAGTAATTGAATGTATATATGTATGTCTGTGCGTGCGTGCATGCGTGATTTTAATTTAATTGAAAGACGAAAATTGTTGATCAAATGAGAAAATTTAGGTGACTTATCGCACTTACCCACCAACTTATCTTCTAGATACTGTGGGCATAGGAAAAAAGCAATTAAATTTTTTATTTATTTCACTGATTACAAATTAATGTTAAGGAATGTTTAAGTAAACCGCTATGCAAATGATAATGCAATTATGTTTATTCATTCCTTTTTTTTCATTTTTGTCAGTGATTAGATGATATAACCGACGTTAA